GATGCTTCCCCCATAAATATATTATTAAGCAACATTTCCTGCTAAGTTTCTTATTTCATTCTCATTGCTTATTTCATTCTCAACGCTATGTTGGTAAATATGCTATTGTCAAATATTGCTCGTTGTTTAAGGCTAGTTGTTCAGTAACATGTTGGTTTGCTAGGCACGCCGTAGCTTAGGCTTATTGGTTGTACTTTGACACACTGGTAACATTAACGTTACCGTTTAAACTTACCACAGCTGAGACTTGTTTTTAAATCTGTTTAAGACTGTCTGATATGAAGCAGGCTTGCTGCTTAAGGCTCATCTAGTATTGAGGATGCTGTTTCATTAAACACATCCTGTGTATGATTATTTCCATCAAGCTGTGTGTAAGTCTGTGATATGCTGTTGCTGAAAGCTATACTGTGTATCGGTAATGTGCTTGATACTTAACTTGTAGTATGTAGATTTTGCTACTAAAGGTGTTATTAATGCTAACGATTATCTGGATTGGGCAACATGCTGTTGCCTAAAACTTCGGGTATTGACAGAAGATCTTTTGCTTTAAAGCTATTAGGGTATTGGGATTTTGCTTGCTTGTTTGGGCTTATCTAGTGTTCAGTATCGTGTTTGTCGTTAGACTTTCTTGTTGCTTTAAGCTATTGGTTGTTACTGCAAGTGCTGGTACTTAGTTAAACTTGCAACAGCAAGAAGCTAATGTTTAAGTTGTTGTTTAGGCCATCTGATTGTTCTTGAAATATGCTTGCTGCTTATGGCTCAACTAGTATTGGGAATGTTATTTCCTTAAGTTCCTGACCACTGCAACATGCTGTGATTTAAGCAAGCAACAATACCAAACTTTATGCTAAGTATCTATCATTTTGACGATAGTGGTTCTGACAGAATTAAATATTTTTTTTGAGAAAACTAATATGTTTTTTGACCTTGAATGCATGTAAACCTGTTTTAGGAGACTCATCAGCTTTAATCGCCTTTTTGGTAACTTCATGACTCAAATGATGACATAACTACAACACTGCATGCTCGTAGTTTCTTTTGCACTTTCTTGTGCACCGCCGCTTTTGTGCGTGCAATTGAAGAGGACGTGCTACGAGCACAGTATAATGAATTTGTTTTTACTGACAACATCTCATCTGACCGCAGTTCACTGTTGTTCTACTGAAGCTCCCTCGTCACCTGTACCTTTTCCGTGCTAGCACCTGGCACTGAGGTGAAGTTGGAGTGTGTGTCTGAAAATCTCCCATTTGATGTGGTCGTAAAGATGTTCTGCATGTAAATAAACGCAATTCTCGTCAAGAAAAAAGAGACAGAAGCAGCAGTTGTGAGTGGGGTGGCCAAACTTAGCTCCACCCGTTAATTGCGTTAAATATTTTTTTAACGTGTTAAACTGAAAAAAATTTATTGCATGCATTAGTGTGCTAATTTTGACAGCACTAACTACGATAGTGTTCTGGAGAAAATCTCAAGTCCCTTGATCTGTAACATTTGAGTAGGCATCATCAAACCAATATATACATTTCTCTGTTAAAGTGGAACATTCATTTCAAGAACAGCAACAAAAAATGTCTCTGATACCTGAGTGTGTGTGGGCGGCAGGCCTTTCCGGCCATAGACTCCCACCAGGGCGCCTCTCTGGACAGAGATGTTGAACTTGAGGGACTGTGGCTGGTCAATGAAGAGCTGAGAGCGCCAAAAAGTTCCTGGAGGGACATCCTGTACTGCTCTACGGCCCACATCCACCTCACCTGTGTCTATGGTGTTATTCTCTTGAAAGTAAACTCCTAGAAAGAGAGATACAGTAAGATGTCATTTGTAAGAGACAGACAAACCATATTTATGCTAATAACCTACTGGAAGTAGAAGTTATTCATTTTCAGCACACGTGATTTGGCCCTCTGAGATACTGTGGTCGAATGTATGCAAGATGGAAAACAAGCTAACGGTAACTGTGAGCAATTTCCCTGTTCTATATGATCTGCCTCTGCCCATATACAGGGACATAATTAAAAAGAGATGTGTGGAAATCCACGCTGAACCATTAAATTTTTGGCATTGCAAGGAAGTTTGATTCATGCATTGAAAATCATTCATCTTGTTCATCACAAATGCCTTGTTTACAGGCAATAGATTCCATTTGTGATCATGTAAGCACTATGGCTAGTATGGCAGGAAACCAATACCATTAGAACAACCAGCAGCAGGAACTACAACAAACAATACAGTAACATCACAGTCAGTATGTTCTATAAAGGTATTAAACAACAATCTATGTGTTCAAACCGAACCTGGAACACAGATGGTGTATATGAGTGAATCTCTTTTTAAATGAAACCGTTTAAAAGTTCCTCCATTAGCAGCATATATGTTTGCATGCCAATGCAATTGTGATTCTTGCTATAGCCTCAAGTGTGATCAAACATTCAGAATAGTCTAATTTCAGAAATCGTTAAATCACTTCATACAGCATTTAATTAGCATCTTTAAACCAGCTCTTTCTGACCCTCACTCCCAAGATAAAAACACACAGTGAATTACCCAGCCAACAGTAAAGAAAAAAACTAAATTGTATACCATTATACTCTAGGGTATGTTAATGTTTATCAAAAGCATTGTTAGCCAGCTATGGTCACGAGTTTCACTGTTAGCAACATAGTTCAACGATTTGTTTTTTCCCTAAAACTTCAGCTCCAATGAACATATGATCTTGACTTGTGGACAGATTATGCTCTTGAGAAAAATAAGCAAGCTAACATGCAGAACAATCTATATCCGCCATTTCATATGAATACATATTTCATTTGACATCTTTTATTTGTCAAGACAATGAACGAGCCATTTTTGAAGAGTGCACGTGAATGCACTCTAGTAACCTGGAGGAAATCCAGATTATTACGTAAAATTAAAAACCCTGATTGAACCGAACATCTGTAAATAAAACAAAACAACAGAGAACAAATATGGCAACTGTTTACACCAGTAATCTTAGTAAACAGTCATCACTAACTAGTTCATTTCTCCAATGATATATCATGCTATGGTAGTTAAGCAGCGAGTATCCCTGGCAAAACACAACCCTTGTCAGCAGTAGGCATATTCATTTCCTGATATTAAAGGGACCTTGATGAGATTTTAGAATAAACTTGATACATCAAGTATAGTTTAATTTATAAAGATCAGCCATAATGGTAACAGGCAAGTCACTGTTTTCCAAAAGTAGTCAACTGTGGTAATATTATATGCAGAGTATAAGCGAAGCTATTTGACTTCGCAGCTCTTCCTTTAACAAGCTGGAAAGCTAATGTCTAGAAATTATACACACAAGCGCACAATGAACTCACCAACAGAAGCCTCGGCATATTCCAACCCCTCACAACATGTTATAAGGCAATTGTGCAGAATGGAGCGGTAATGGGAAAAGGAGAATAGGCTATGCTCATATGCTAGCTAATGGAGAGCAGCTGCCATTAATATTGCATTAATTATTATTGCGTAATTCCGTAGCATGCGGGCACTAACCATACGCGTGTTGCTAATGCAGTCAGTCGGTTACATAAAGAGCATGTTGGAGTGAATGAAAGAGTAATTAGAGAGGACTTGCTGACTGTTAGTTTTAATGTGAGCACGCCTATGGCCCTAAATGCTCTACAGAGCAAACGAGAGAAGTCATCTGTGAAGCTCTGATCAACAGTATTGTCCACAGGATAAAAAGAAGGGGATGGTATGCTTAAAGAATGCCAGTGGAAAAGAGGTTTGCTTTCTGTGTGTGCCAGGGATGCCCGCGGTGTTTCTTGGACATGGATATTGAATTGGCATTTGCCCATGAGAATCGCAGAGATGTAGTAGGTTTGTTTTGGCTAGATGCAAAGACTCCCTAAAGCCCTGTACTTCTCTTTCTATTTCTCTTTCTTTAGCTTCTCTCTTCATCCTAGCCATGTGATCTGCCAAACTGTCTTGATGTTTACTGTTTAAATGTGTGTGTGCATGTTTCTGTTGGTAAGAGTATTTTTTTTCTATACCACATAAAATACCACTACTATCTGACAGATATCACTGACTGGATGTCCTTAGAAATGACACTTGTCTCAGTGACTGTCTCTGGCTCTGTAAAAAGCAAAAATCTGGAAGAATGTGGGTATGTACAGGTATGCCATTACTTTTACATTTATGGTTGTTGGCACAGAATTTACACACTGCCCCTTAAAATAACAGTTCAACAAAAACAACAACAAAAAATATCACATTATTTACTAATTCTGTCATTCAGATCTTCTCAGTTTAATATAATGACATTTGGTGAAAGGTGACATTTTTTAGTGAATTAAATTGAGGTTTGTTCTTCATACAAAGCTATCTCATGACTTGACAGCCCCTAGTTGCAATGAAATATAGCTGTATAGAAAAGTATGTGGAAAATAAACTGCTGCTTTTTTGTGTTCTACAACAAAAGTTTACAATGACATGAGGGTGAATAATTATGCCAGAATTAAATGTTTTGGCTGAACTACATTAATTGATATTAGTAGTAATAATGTGGACACAATGTGAAAAAAAATATTTAGGCTATTGTTTTCATACTGAACACATTAAAAGAAAGGAGAGATGTAGATTTCTTGCTGCAGTGACAAATGACAAGCTGTTTGTGACAAAGTTTACACTCAAGCACTCAATCATGGTCATGCAACTATACAAAAACATGTCAAAAAGAGGCCTCGTTTTAAATTTTGTCATTGGGTATGGTGTGACTTTCACTGGTGTCTCACTGTATGACTAATTTGACAGCAATTTGTTTCAACACTGCACACACGCGGTGACTTTCAGTCCACAGCTGCAACAGTCAAGACTCTGGAGACACACACACTCTTACTTTCAAATGAATAGATGGAGCATAGCTGAATGGGTCTTGAGACAGGGTCTTTAAAACAATTATTTTTGACTTGACATGTCACATAAAAAACACAACCAAGTACTAAGTTTATTTCTGTATGTGCTGTCAGGTACTCCCATTGACAAAATTACTAAAATGCACATTAGTGACAGAACTGAACTTTTCCATTAAGAGGCATTTTGTACCTTGTATTGACAGGGTATCAACAGCATGAGGCTAAACCCATGAAAATCCGAAAAACACTTTTTTTGTGACTGATCACTCTGCCCTACACCTATCCTTGATTTCCCGTTTAATTCAATTGTTTCTGCCTCTCTCACTTTATACCTATTATTCACTCCCTTCAAAACACTCTCTCCATATGCTTTTATTGTCATCACCCCACTTTCTCCCTCTCTCACCATTTCTGTTGGGCCCTGAGAGACATTAACATTACACGTGCGATTTTGCCAAGTGTCTCCCCTTCTTCCTAATGCATTCAGTTGCAGATTTAGCACCTCTTTATGACTTTCAGAAAAGTCACTTGAGCAGTTTTTAATTCACTGAAGCCTGTGGAAGAGTGTCTGCATGTGCATTAGGAGAAGCAGTGTTATATTCATTAAGAGAGTGTGAGAGAGTATCATGCTTGGCTCTCTTAGTTGCTGCAGTAGGACTGAATACAGAGCTGCTCAGATGATTTGTTAAAGAATGGTGCAGCACATAAATAAGGCCCCATGAAACAATGCTAAATGCAATGTTAGGTTCCACTTCCAGGCACCAGGGATAAAAAGAAGGATAAAACTCAGTTTTAAGTGCAAGCCTACAGCTTTCACACATGTGTGAGGATGATGGAGTCTCTGAAGGGTGTGTGTTTGAATACAAAGCAGTCAGTGTGAGGAACACTAAATTATTTTCTGAAAATTACGACTGGTCTACTTTCATTTTTCAGTGTTTATGGAAATCAATCTCTTAAAAAAAACAGCAAGTCCTCATATGGTAATGACATTCCCTACAGTCCTAGTCACATACAAACACACGCACCTCTGAAGCGAGACAGGCAATCTAAAGCACATCCTGTCATTTAGGAAAGAAACTGCACTGAGGCTATTGTCCCTGCTTTGAACACACACACACACACACGTTGGTTTTTATGGTTTATGAGGACTCTCCATAGGCGTAATGGTTTTTATACTGTTCAAACCGTATTTTCGATTGCCCTACACCAACCCTACCCCTAAACCTACCCCTTACAGGAAACTTTGTGCATTTTTAGATTTTCAAAAAATTCTGAATGATTTATAAGCCTTTTAAATTACGGGGACACTCAAAATGTCCTCATAAATCACCTTCTCATTGTAATACCTATGTCATTATACAAATTTGTGTCCTCATAAACCACATAAACATGCACACACACACACACACACAGCACTTGAAGCTCTTTTATGGAGTGAATGCTTTTAGGTCAGCTGTCTCTCAAAGAAAGGTGAACTGCAGATGACAACAGCAGCACCCTCAGTTATTACTCACTTTTTCTTCACTGGAGAAGAAGAGACAGACAAATAAGTGAGTGTGTGTACGCATTTCAAAGGGTCTACAGCAGGTATGTAAGTCAAACTTTGCTGCGTGTGATGCATGTTCAGTCTGTCAGTAAGTATCTGTGTGGATTTGCTGCGCTTCTATTCATGTGTCTTTGTGTGTGGGCAGCTTTTCTATCCTTGTGGGCATGAAATGTCTGAAAATCCCACTAGAAACACAACAAAACCTGACAAAACCAGCTAGCTGGGACATCCTTGTGAGGATAAATGGTTCATGAAAGAGCTAAATATATCTAAAATTTTCTTAATAAAAGAAAATTCTGTAAGCCATTTACAGATAGAGGTTGTGGTTAGTCTATATTTATAATTATACAGCAGT